ACATGCCGTCTGAACGCATCTAGTGTCGCGAAATTCGGGTCATCCTGGCATTGAGGATGGTTGCACCGAATGAGATTGCCACGTTGTACAGTACGCTCTCGTTCTACCAGATGCTGGTCGTCAAAGTGGTCATTTCTGACCGCTGGCCGGCAGTACTTGAACGTCCGTTCTGCTAGTGAAAGTCTGCAATCCCCAACACAATCAGGGCACTGATTCGGATCAAGGAGTAGTGGGAAGGGCTTGGGTTGGGGAGTCTCTTCGATGGTTGGCTTGGGTTGAGGATGGGTGCGGATGCGGTCTCGTCTGACCGTCTCTCTCTTGTCACAAAGTGTGACCATCAGATCGATAGCCTCAATCCAAAGCTCCATGAGTTTGTCGTGAGAGCAGTCGGCTGGTTGGTGGCAGAGGATGTGGGCCAGTCTGGTGCGCTCGGGAATCTGGAGGTTGATGTCCGGTTCAGTATACTCCTCGTCTTCTTCGCCGTTCGCTTGCCTCTCGATATCCCATGTTGGGCGGTTGTAGAAATGATATTCGCGATACTCTTTCACGACACTCTTGTCGCGTTGATCCCGCTTCGTGCGTATCTCCTCGGTTAGCCTGCGGATTTCGGCTTCGTTCTCTTCACCTTGCACTCGGTATTGACCACCCTTCAACTTCTGTCGCCGTTGCTCTAGCTCCAGAATTTCCGGATCGGGAGGCAAGTTCTCCCAGACCTCCTTGGGGACCATGTCTCTTGTTGCCCGGGGATCGCGCGTGAGGCTGACATGCGCAAACACCTTATACATCTGCTCCTCGGTTTCCTCTTCTAGGAAGGTATTCTGGAGGTCGAACTGGACGTTCTCGTTAAGGTATGCGCCTTGAAACGTGGCGAACTTGGGATCGTGGCGCATCATCTGGTCGCGCACGGCATCAGACGCATTCCCTGGAGTCAAAGCTTTAAGTATCTGAAGTCCTCACAAATGCTGTTCACCTCAACCTACCATTTGCTGCATTTGCCGCCCCTCTTCGGGCGAACCGTGGCGTCCAGGCCTTCTCGAAACCTGCATCAAGGCTCTGTCGGCCCATGTCGTCTCGTAATTTGGAATAGCTCATGGCCTCGTCGACGGCCAACGCACTGCCGCTGAACTTTCGAAAGATCGGAACCTTGAGCATTGACTGCTTCCACCGTAAAGCCGTAGACTGGACTGGACCCCTGACCTCTGCTCTTAGTACCTGGGTTGCATCTGTCAGGCTTGCTGCGTCGAAAGCCTGGTCGTGGAGCGCTAGAGCGATGATGGTGCTGACGGCACAGAAGATGAACCTTCTTGCAGGCGTAAAGAAGAAGACAGTCCTGTCCATAGTCAACATGGAAAGCACCAAAAGCGATTGGAGCCGCGGCGCTACGCATACTCACGGTCTTGGCTTGTTGTCAGCTCCTTTGTGGTGGATGAACTTAACAGCCATTGCCGGTACGGCTCGTCCCGTCACTGGATGGCGAACAATCATCATAAGTATGTCCTCATAGCACAAGGCTTTCGGACGTCCCCGCCCGGCTGTTTCCTGT